TGTTAGCACACAAAAAAAAGCCCATGTATGAACATGGAAATGGAATAAGCTCTCTTAAGTAAGAGAAATGTTTACCTCAGTAGTGTTGAAGCTTTTATTGAATGATAGTTTACATAATGTAAGGACCTGTTTTACTTAAAGGGGACCTATCATGCAAAATGCACTTTTGTACGTCTTTTATACATGAATATGTGTCGCCGGTATTCCAGGGAACTCACCAAGTGTCAGAAAAACAACCCTCTCTATTTTCCTCCATACCCAAATCTCTAAAAAAGGGGCTGCAACGGATCTGATAAAAACTGATCCAGATTTGAACACTGTCCTGACGTCAGGACAGTGGCGCTACGGCTATTGGGCCAACTCCACCAATCAGGAGGAGACAGCCACGGCTATTGCCGTTCGAAAGCGCTGGAGACGCTGTAGTACATATGCCAGGCCTGTAGATGGTGCTGTTCTCACTGAATCTGCTCAGAGCTAAAAAATGTCAAATTGAGCAAAATGAGGCATGGCTAAAATGCATGATCGGTTTGGTATTTAAAAAAAAAAAAAAGTATAAATATGCCTTATATAGGTATGGTCCTACACTATATTATTCAAATATAGCATGATAGGTCCACTTTAATGCATTTGTCCATGTGAAATGTAACTCTTTTACTGTGGTGTTACATTTATATGTATTATAATGTTGAGTTCACACTTTTTATTGCATAACTTATTTTTTTTATGTATCAGAAGGACACGTGTTCTATTAATTGGTTTCCACTGATTTAAAGAAATGTTATCTAGTAGATGGCACACTCACTCAACATTTGACTTGCACAAAATAATTCGGAAAATGTTACTTATCCCAAACACACACACACAGAATACCTGAGGGTTTTGGGAGCCACTCATGACAGCACAGAGGGCTGGGATAATGGCTGGGTCTTTGAAAGCCTGTTTCAGCTGGACGGTGGCCTAAAAGGGGACAAAAGAGGTCTCACCATGTTAGACTGGCTGCCAAATGACTCACAACCCAAGCCTTTGGTTTCTTTTTAAATAAAGTTAGAGTGGGCCACAGTCACAATGCACATCTCTTAAAGCTGGGACATAATGGTGCTGAATATCATGACCAACTGTTGGACAAGTTGGCCGGACGTTACTTGTTAGCTAGCTTAATTCGTTAACCGTTAGTAAACCGTTACAACTTAGTTTTCCCAACTTTTCCTTCGTTTAACAAACTTAATAACGCTAATGCTAACAGGGACAAAGTTATTTGTGACTTTACCTGCTGAATTACAAGCATTATCCGGCTGTGTCAGCTGCGAAAGAATTAGCTCAAGTTCCTCTGTCATCTTGACGGTTTAGAGCTATCCACTTCTGCTGAAACGTTAACGGAAATATTTATAATAAACCGGGTTGAATAAAAGAGTTTCCCGGTGTAGTTACCAAGTGCGTTACAGCTGTTAAATATGTAAACAGAAACTCTGTGTGTTAGCTGTCAAGTTGCCGTAAAGGTTAAATTAGAGAAAACGTCTGATACGTGTGGAGCTGTCAAAGCCGAAAAGGCGAGTCCGGCAGAATTGAGTCCCTAGCTCGGGCTGGTCCGTTAGGGCTCAACTGCCAGCACGCGGGACAGAACCGGCCAGGAGCTCCATGTGAGATGTGTTTAAAGGGACATGCTGCTGTGAGTGAGCCTGCAGGCAGAAACTAACAGCGTCCCCACCGGAGAGGAGGGCATGTACAGCAAATATATATATACTTTTGTTCAACTATATAGAATTTATTTTCAATACATCAGAAAAAACGCAAATCACATCAGCGTTTATTAAATGAATTCAAACTGAAGGCATTATGAACAAAAATAAGCACAAGTGATCAATCAGGAATGAAGGTGTATGGTTCAATGTCCTTCAGAAAATAAAATACTTGAGACATTTTGAGAAAGCATAATTTGTGGATTAAATCTTTTGCTAAAATATCTTGTGCAACAAATATAAATCAATGCTGATAAGGGAAAAAGTACATCTAATATACTTCTGCAACTTGTAGGTAATTGCACACTGCTACACTATTTTATAGTTCTTCTGCACTACAAGTGAAAAATATATTTCTTTTTATTCCACTACATTTATAAGCCAGCTATATGAACTATTCCTTTGTATTTGAAGAGTCAGGTATTTTACTAAAGTAGCAATACCCACCCCTGTAGTACATTATACCAGTATAAGTCCTAAAATCAAAAAATTAAAAGTAAACCATTTTGGTATTAATATATACTTAACGTACCAAAACTGAAACTATACTAATTTTGCAGAATTGCTTTTTTAAGAATAATAAGTAATTATTTTACAAAGTATTGATGCATCAAAGTGTTTCACTTTAATGTTGCAGCTGGTAAAGATTTAGTATTTTTAATTATTGTATCTACTTTCTGGAAGTGTGATCCTTATTAATAAATTAACATGTATCAGTTGATTTGATGTTGTATTAGTAATCTGAATCTGCACAGATGTATGCAGTAGAAGTTTAAAGATGCATTAATTAACTAAAGTTAGGTAAGAGTAGTTCAAATTATCACTGCACAGTACTTGTAAATATACCATTGCTAGTTTTTACACATTTTTTAATATGAAACATACGCTCAAAGGCCAAACTATGAAATACCCTGGTTAGAGTTGTATAGAAGTTTTAAATTTCACCACCTACAACATTAAACTAATGCTTACACACATCAGATATGCAAATATAACACTGAATTGGACAATACCAGTACTTTTACTTTGGATATTTAGTAGCATTGAGTCTGAAATACTTGTATATTTTTGCATATTTCAAATTATTAGCACAGGACGTACTTGTAACCATGTTTGTATTCTGTGCCAGGTATAACTACTTTAACTGAGGTTAAGGACCTCAAAGTACTTTCCCCAGCAATGATATAAATCAAAACAAGATTACTGATTGAACTTCTTGAAGGAGGACAATAAAAGGTGACTTGTGTTTGCACCTGGGAGAGGGTATCCAAACGTCATTTACATGCATTTGAGTCAACAAAAGAGATTCTCGTGGTCTCACACATCACGCCCAAAATGTAAAGTACTGAAACAACAACACCAGTGATTGATCTGCACTATACAAGAAAGAAAAACTGAAGAAGTAATGATGTAAACTGTAGCTTGGGACAGCAAGAAATCACACTCAGCGGTTTTTATTTGTACCAAACACAGCTAGGTATTAAGTGTTTGCTGTTATAGTTGTATTTCAGGAGAGTAGGAACATCTTGAAGATGATCATGTTCAAATGTTTAGACACTGCAGTTTATTTTACAAAAACAGTGTCTCTCAAATATACTTTACAGTTGGCTACAATAAGCATGGTCGTCAAGGCTAATCTATTGTCCTCTCTCCACATACCAATGCTAATTCAAAGCACACTCTTTTTCCACCCACACCCTCTACACACCATCAACCCCCCTCCTGGGAGCTTTGGGTACAAGATCAGAAAACACACCCTGTCCAGGCAGAGATCAGTCGAAATGCTTATGTGCCCATTAGGCTCACTGTTCTCGCATCAATTCATCACTAACTGAATCATTACCACGTCAATACAGCCAAGGAGGGGGAACACCAACAAACCCTTGGATGGTAAACACGCAGCTAATCTAAATCATCTTGTGAAAGGGATTGCATTTGGAGGTAAAACACTCTGTGACAACATTTCCAACCCACCTACATAATTTGGGCATGTTGGGATTTGAAGCAACAGTGATTTGTCTTTAAACTCTTATGTTCAAAGTGCACAAATTAAAGTTAAATATATTTGTAAACACTTAAAATCTCACATAGATCCCTTTCAAGCTAAATATTCTGTTCAACATGTCTTAGTAAGCTGCTCACTGCCTTCAATTTAAGTCTTTCTCAATCTATAACAAAAACGCTGACTAAGAAGTATGAGTGGTTCATAAACTATTCATACATGAGACCCAGATACTATATGTAGTCTCTTGATCTTTGACAGAAGCCCCAAAACACATAATGAAGCCACTAGGGGAATCAACAGACTTGGCCATGGTTTAAAGCAAACTGACGCTTTAGTGCTGACAAGGCAGCATGTGAAGTTTGTTTACTATTTGGATAGCCCTCTTATGTAACTAATTTATCTTTTGTAAAACCGTCCTATACTGCTGAGCTAGATCTCTGGCAGCACAATGTATTCATGCAGTCAGTGAAGCTTGTTTTAAATACCAAAGCTGCCATAAAAATATCATATTTTGCTTTAAGTGTATTATCAGTGAGTATCAATGTAGCTCTATCTCTTTTAGTAAATGATGTATCTCAAAAGCTCATGCTTAACTCTTCAAACAAACACAAAAGATCACCAGTTCTTACAATCTGAGCCTCATAACTCTTGTTATGAGACACATGCTGGATTAGGGTATCACGTTTAACAGGATTCTTTTGAGATAGATCTGGCTAGACAAATACAAATGTTATATTAGGAGTATGCATAATGTAAACATCTTTATGAAAACCTTAAATGTTGAAACAACACTTTTCAATATGGAACCTTGAGATTATATTCCATGTCATACAAGCACATGTTGCCTGAGTGAAGCATTTCAAAACCAAACAATACACACAATAAATGAGGGGCTTCATATAATCCTTCCAGTAGATTAAAACTCAAGTGAGACATTTAACTTTAACTCTGTAGCATTGAAATAAAAAGTCATTTTGGGTAGCTTGGTGATGGTGTCATTTAAGAGGGTTACTTCAATAGTGGTTAAAACTTTTCTAAACTAGTTTGTCTTTGTGCCAATGTCCCAAACCCAAAAATGTAAAAAAAAAAATCAATTTAGTGGGCCAATGAAATGGCATCACTGCCGTCAATGAAGGATGAGTCAAAGGGATTGGCTCCAACAATCCCAACACCTACCTCCATGCCTGCCCACACCCACACACGTCTTTATAACAAGCCTCTGGAGGATGGGCGCACTTTTTAAAGTTAGTTGACCCCGCTTGTTTTACCTGGACAGGTCCTAGCATCGCCCCTGTGGATGAACGGGTTCGTCCTGCAGCATTTTAAGCGATTTAACCCCAAACTCACATTTGTTTGGTTATTTTTTAGTTGCGGTTTTTACATTTTTATCGCTACGCCGGAGAAATGGCCGACTGGAAGCCACAGATTAGCTACAACTATAACCCCTCTTACCACGCATACGCTTACGGCCTCGTTTACCAACCCGGGCCGGAGCAGAACCACGGGAACACGGCCAGCTGGGGAGGAGAGCCCGGAGTCACGGATTTGAGCAACTACAACGCCGGGGTCAGCCAGGCCTACTTCGCCTCCACCCCCCGGACCAGCCCGGAGCAGCACGCCATGAGCGGCCACGGTCACTACCAGGGCTCCGAGGCGGTTTACCTGGGCGACTCCCAAGCAGGCCGTCTGCTGCTGGCCGGACCCCAACGGCCTGCGTACGATGCCCGGCCACATGAGGTCAGGCGGGCCGGGAGCGACACCGCCAGTGACTCGGAGACTCACACCTCACCAGGTACATGGCTTTCACTGACTCACATGCAACTTTAAAACTGGGAAGCAAAATTATAATTCTTACATTTCCCCCATGGCTGCAAAAAGCGAAGATTTCTTCCACCAATGTTGACCGTGAAGTCCAATTTAGTTCCATCTTAGTTTTTGTTTAAAAAAAAATACAAATATCGCGCCACTGATTTTACCCGCTGAAACAAGTGGCGACATCTAGCGACAGAACTTGAAAATGCCAACAAATATTTAACTATTCAGTTAATAAAGTAAAAACATATAACATGTGTTTATTTATTGCATTTATTTATATACATTGTAGCAGACAACAGGGCCTTTACATTATTAATGCTGTTATTGAGCGAAATAATTTAATTTAATGTAATATTGCTTTGTATAACTGGTTATAGTGTGCATTAAGTAACCTGGTATGAAGAAGAGAAACTTCATAATATATGATCATATGCCAAAAAACTGCCATTTCCAATACACAGTTAATTAGGGCACAACTACATTCGGCATGATGTAGTTAAATATAATCCTTGGGGTCATGTCCCCCACAGAGGTCCAGTGAATTGCTGGGTCTCAAGAGGATACTGGGGCATACAATTATGTGATGCTTTGACAAATGCTCGGAACAATTTTGACCCTGCTCACCATGTCCGTTCCCCTCTCTTAGATTCCTGGAGTTCTGGGAGCAGCAGAGAAGGAAGTGTCCCCCAGGCTGACCCTGCTACATGGGCAAAGAAAGAGCTGGAGGAAGAAGCGATCTGTAGGAGCCCTGTTGCCAGAGAGGATGTTTCCAGCTCTGTCATGGAGGAGCCCAGACCCGTCCCTGTCAATGGGAACATGTGCACCAACGATACCCAAAATGCACTCTTAATTGTCCCAAAGAAGGCTTCTGCTGTAAATACCCCTAAAGGAAAGGTCCGCTCTGCCTTCTCGGAGAGTCAGATGAATGCTCTTGTCCAGCGCTTTAGTGTTCAGAGGTACCTCACACCGGCGGAGATGAAGAACGTTGCAGAACTGACTGGGTTGTCCTACAAACAGGTGAGGGATTAATGGATGTCCTGGATCACATTCACAGCAAAATATATGCATCTTTTCAGATCATCTGAATCTCTTTCTTCCGCGTTTCAGGTTAAGACTTGGTTTCAGAACCGAAGGATGAAGCTCAGGAGGCACCAGAAGGACACGAGCTGGGTGTCTGAGCGCTACAACAGAAACAGCCCTACTCGTGGACCCATGTACACCAATATGCCACCACACATCCCACCTGTGAGTAGCTCTTTGTTGCATCAAATATTTAATGCTGATAAAGGTGTGATTGGACATTGTCCTGCTCAAATTTCCTGTTAATTAATAACAGTGAAACAGAGGCTAGGACATAAAACAAGACGTCCATAATGGAGGCTAAACCATAGTCTGGTTATGACCTTAAAGGCGTGACGAAACATGATCAAACGTAAGAATAAGAATGCCACTTTTTTCTAAATTGTATACTAATATGACCGATTTCCCCTCAGTATCAGGGAGAAGCCCGGCCCCAGCTGAAGGAGCATTACAATCAGCACATGATGGAGACATCTTTTAAAAAGGCGGCTCCTCAGAACCTCGCCTACTATCTGGCCGCAATGAACTCTGTTGCTGGATCTGCTGGATACCCTCCCTGGCCCCCAGGCTCGTCCCAGACCGCAATGCCCCCCAGGCCCCAGGCCCGGTCCATGCCTCCAGGAGTCAACCACTGTGAATACAACTCCATGGCATTCAACTCAGCCAGCGCCACCCCTGCAAATAACACTGGGCATGACACACGCTTCGAAAGCAAAGGCGGGGAGGCTGTGGACACCCGCGGCACAGCCATGGTGCACAATGCCGGCCAGTAGTTGTTGTTGGGTTGATGAGTTCGAGCTTTTTCTGTAATATTTACCCAACAGGCCTGTTTATATTCTTCTATTTCCTCACTGTGATTGAGGTCTTTTTTGCATAGTCGAGTGTACATATACCTTGTTCATACTCCTGTTCAAAAGTATTTTACCTTGAAGTTTTATTTTTGATATGCAACTATTTAATGTGTGTTCTTTGCGCTTGGTGGTGATGGATGAGTCCACGTTGGATGAATAATTGGATCATGTTGTTTTTTGGAACAATTTTAAAGCAAAGTACTGAAAGATATCTGCTGTGCACACATTTTCTATAAAAGCCAGTTTCACTCCAGTAACTTTGTTGAGTTTTTTTTCTTCCGAGAGCATGATTCTATCCTGACATACAGTATGTGATTACTTTTTAAATTTGTGATTGAATCATATATATGGCTAAATGGGAAAATCCTTCATATGCAAGACACCAGGACTAAAACTTGCAATAATGTAAAAAAGTATAGCATTTTCCATGATCATAAAGATGTTCAAATTGGCTTCTCTAAATGTACAAGAATATAAAACCCATGGAAAAAAATCCAGAATTTCTTGCTGTCACTATTGTATTAAAAGCATTTTTATTGAAAAGAGTATATTTACATCAGAACCAAAACCAGTCAATGGTGACCATAACATACAATGTTGCTCCCATCACCAACATCTTGCATCAACTTTCTTCTAAACTGCATTCCTCTTATCCTCTGTAGGGCCTTGTGGAGCTTGACAGGTGACTTTCAAAACTATTATTCCCATATGTAAATTGGCTGTTGAGACTGTGCGGGTGGAGTATAATTGCAAGTAATAACACCGGCACTGCTGCATATTTAATAAAACTACAGTGAGTCAGCCGCTTCAGTGGGAATTAAAGACTAGAGCCTGCCAAGCCTTATTCGAGCATTAAGTAGGAACCAGATGCCACTACATCATACAATGATTAAATCCATTCACCCCCCCCTAGCTCATACATTTTTACACATTCACTCCTGATAGTACACAACTATCCCTTTGTACAGAAATATCCCATTTTATCCTTAAATACATAATCCAACCGTGTTAAACTAACAGCTTTATTTCAACCATCGGCTCTCGCTAAAATCAAGGACCCTTTACTCCTGTGGCATAGGAGATGTGTGTAGAAAGCAAGAGTAGAATGAGGATTGTTTATAGCCATGTGTGTATTCACATTTTTAGTCCATCTTGAGGCTACGGTAGATGTAGCGAATAAACGCAAGTGAGGCCCAGAACGACACGCTGCCCAGCATCAGAGAGAAGACCAGCGCCGTGAGCAGAGAGTAGCCGAAGAACTCCGTGCTCTGCACCAGGCCGCTCATCGACGACCGGTTCCGGTAGTAGAAAACAGAGTAGACGAAGATGAAGAGGCCGGTGGAGCCGGTGCTCAGGACGCTGCGCCACCACCACCGGTGGTCTTCGCCGGACAGCAGGAAGTAGGTGAGCGCGACGGAGATGCAGGCGCCCACTGAGAGGAGGATGGCGAAGACGCACAGCAGGATGCCGTAGAGCGTGTAGTGCTCTCTGCCCCAAACTGTGGCGAAGATGTAGTACAGCTCCACTGAGATGGCACTGAAACAAATGTTAGAAATAGAAACAAGTGGGTGTAAAACTAAAATCAAAAGGCTGTACTATTTATGTTTTTACCATTTGTCTGGATACACCTGGTAGTTAACGGTTCCAAAGTTTATTTCTTGGCAGTTACACCAGCAGAAAGCAGCCCTTTAGGTTGGTTAAATAGATTAATAGTAGAATCGTCGTTCAGCAATATAATGTTGTGAAGAACGGTATTACTATCCCAATCACTTAACACCAAAACTGTTTAACTGTATGGAGAGGTGGTCTTAAATTCCCCCTTAGACTGAAGCCCCCTTCCCCACACATCAAGACGTCTCACCTGAAAGGCAGGAAGCCGCCGATGGCCATGTGTACGGCCGTGTGTTTGTACCACGGCTGCGTAGGGATCTGCCGGGCGATGTTTCGAGTGCGGCACGGCGCCTGGAAGCTGCCGGCTCGATTCTTTCCCACAATGCCTCCGATGACGGTGAGCGGGAAACCCACCAGCACCCAGGCCCCCAGGATGAGCAGCACGGTGGTGGCCGGCAGAGCCTGAGTGGAGCCGCTCCACCAGTGGATGGAGTTCACAACACTCCATGTCAGGAACAGAGGAGCTGTGGGGATGAAGGACGGATTTAATAAAGAACAGGCATTTTTATCACCTTTTTTGGAGAAAGTAAGCACCAGGGTATAGTTCAAATGGGTTAGGGTTAAAGTGATTCATTATATTTAATGATGTGTTTTTCTTTTAATGATGAAAATATACAGCTGCTGAATTACTGAATAAGATCAATTTTTATGTGCCAGAAATACTCTATTTAAAACAACTTCTTGAACCTGAACCAAGAACTCCTGCATAAATGAATAGATTATAAATTGAGTTGAACAGCTTTGTCACATTATACAGAGCACAAATGAGACTGTCATATTACACTAGGCTTTAAAAATGACACAAAGTAATTCCATCAAAGCTGTAAAAGCTAGGCATGGGTGAAATAATTCCAGTTTCTCTTCTAAATGTGTAAAGTAACACTTAAAGCAAAGTGTATGAACAATAGCAGTGTAAAAAAAACAGACAGCTTCCTTATAGACGATATATGAAACGTTTTTGGTAAAGTTACTAAGTTACAAAATGGTCAAAAGAATCATTGTGAATACATCCTTAACATTATTTAAGTATAAAAGTTAGCTAAATGTTGCTCCTTAGAGACCATAATGTGAATCTACAGACAGTTTAAAAGGCCAAACCACAATTAAAATTCATCAGTATCAATTGGTTCCTTTTAAAGCTTAATTATCACATTTTTCAATGACAGCTTACATTGAAAATGTCAAGAGGGAAATGTAAGAGCTGTGATAAAAGAAATAAGGAGAAAAGCAAACAAGGACTGAGGATGGAAGCAGCTAAATGGGTAACACAACCCTCAAGCTATTGGCAGAGAGGAGATAATCTTATGCAATAACAGATAAATCAAGTTTTGATTACCTGCAAATATAAAAAAACGTTCAAAATTCAGTCAAATTCAAATGCTTTAATTGTGTAACCCTGGCACAAGAATTTCCTTCTGGATAAATAAAGTCTAATCGTATCGTTATCTTTTCTTATATTAAGTACTGTTTACCCTGCTCTAACAACCAGAGTGTGAAGTGATCCCAGACCCTCCATATCAGACTCACCGGAGAAGAGGGAGGAGGTGAGGATAATGTTCCACACCCAGCGCTGTCCGTTGATCTGTGTGTAGAAGCTGCAGGACACGTAGCCCGACACACAGCTGGTCAGAGCGTACAGGACGATGGCAGCAGAGTTGATGGCGCCATGGCGATGCACGTTAAACATTCCCAGCAAAGCCATGAGGATGATTCCTGATGAGGACACATTAAAGTGATCAGACACCTTTACATATGACCTGTGTGTGTATGCCATCATCAGGTTTCTAGCTGTTATGTCCCTCTGCTGGTCAGTACAAAGACTGCTGCTGCGGGTCAGTGCTGTCTGAGTTTTCAAAATGAACAATGATCCTCCTAATACTGTTTGGGTGTATTTGAGAATGAATGCTCACCTGTGGCAAGAGTAAGGAACTGAGCCCCCACCCCCAGCACGGCACACAGCAGGCTTTTGTAAGGGGGAAACCTGAAGACGTCAGTGTGGATGATCTTCCAGCCGTTGTCTCCCTGGTCCAGATCATCACAGCCGCCCTCCTCCTCCACATTGTACCTGCAGGTGAGGGGAGAAGGCTTTCATGTACAGGAGTTGTCTACAAGTAGATGAGGAAGACTAAGTGAGAAGATAGAGGAAGAAACTAATGTTCCTAGACTGCTTGATTTGAGTTATTTCCCATTCTTGGAGTTAGATTTGATTTCCTGTTCTCTTTAAATGTGCTATTTTTTGATATTGTTCCAATTTGAAAATATAATCCTGGATATTTAATATCATCCGTATTTATCTGTGAATATACATGAACAAAATGTTATAATTCTTTCATTGAAATGTAATAGAAATCTAACGTATACAACATTTAAACTAGCCTGTCCCTGGACTCAGACTTGTTAATCCACAGCCTTATGTACAAAAGAGAGTAAAAAGTATTTAAAGCCGAAATGTATGCCTTTAAAGTTTAATGCCATTTTTAGACTTTTTAAATAAATCTTTGGAAAAAAGTACCTACTAACTTCTCAAAAGACAGTCAAATAAGGGAGCAAATTATCAAATGTATTTACAAATTATAAATTGATTATAATTATTACTTGAAAATGTCCAAACATTTTTGATAAATGTCTTTAAAATTCTCAAGAGAAAAACTGCGAAAAGCTAAAAATATTCACCTTACTGTCTATGATGTTTTTCCTCTCAATAGATTTCAGTATTGTCTAAATTACTTTACTTTTTTTCTGTTGGTATAAGATTGTTAAACTCTTTTAACTATATTTAAGATGTTTTCAATAGCCTTTCCAGTCTTTATCTTCTTTCCCCTGTATTTTTCTATAGTATAATTTCCATATTTAAAGACATGAAACATGAAGTCTCACATTTATAGGCCCGACTAACCTGGCAAAGTCATTCTTCAGGACCCGCATGAGGATGATGATGACGAAGCCCAGCAGCAGCACCACCAGCACCAGCGAGTTAATGATGGAGAGCCAGTGGATCTCCAGCGTTTTGGGGAAGAACGAGTAATCTCTGAGGCGCTCGGCTCTCCTTGAGTGAGGCAGCGGGGACTCGAACCAGCGCACGCTGTACGTGTGGGTGACGACCAGGCTGCCTCCTCCCACCCCGACTCCCCCCACTGAACCCACGCCCTCCTCCAGGGGAACAGGTTTCACGTCTTTCACTGATACATTGGCAAATATCACTGTGTCGCCATTGTACTCAATGTTGAAGTCTAGATGAGTCCACAAACCCACCTGTAGGGGGTGAGAGGGGAGGGGAGTAAATAAAGAGAAAGAGGAAGAGAGAGATTCAAATAACAATTACAGTTGGTTCAGATGAAACCGTTGCATAAAGATTGCATAAAGATGAAACCGTACACCGTCTTTCTCTTTGCCTCCAAATAGAATTCACATATCCCACAATCCCTCAGAAAGAGGTTTACCTTGTGGCTGTGGGGCAGGAAGCCGCTCTCCTCTATGTAGCCCACAAAGCCCAAGATTGGAATGTCATCCAGGACAAACTCGAAGTAAAAAAGTTCCTCGATGGCCTCACGAAGTTCGTCCACCTGAGACACACGAAACATA